ATTCAACAGAGAGAGGTTAGATTTGGTTTTACCCTTTTAATTGTTTAGGACTTTGAGTTAAAAAAAGCAGGAATTGGATAGCGACTTTAAGTTGGTGGTCAGCAGATGTTCCGACAGTAGAGAAGGGAATTAACAACAGATTTATAATAGTATATCATGTTCGATCAGTTATTTCAGAATTTAAATTCATCAACCCAAGAAGCAAACCAAACCACTTTCTTGCTATTAGTTTGGTTTGGGTTGATTGGGTTCATGGGTTGATTCAGACCCGTGGTCACCCCTTACAATGACACCAAGCATTATAAAATAATAGACAGACAAATTATCAAAATGCAATTCCTAATTCATTTAACAGATTGCACAAAATGTTGACATTTTACATTTATACTGCAATAGAAAACTTAGATCCCGAGTTAATACAGTATCAGACTATTAGAGTGTATGGATACATTCAAAATTCTGGTGGCTCCTCTGGAAATGGGTAAAAAGCACGATTTTTCCGCAGCAACTAAGTTTTGTATTGCTTTCCCCATGAAATTGAAATTGACTTCTCTCGCCTCACCACCAAATAAACTACAATATGAGGCTCAAGTTCTTTATTCTGATTAGCACTCGGTGTCAACAATTGTATGAGTCACTGAAACTCAATTTCACAGAAGTGTTATATAAGATCCCCATTGCTACCCCCTCAACAATTTGAGTAAACAAATAACTAATCAAGTGCATAAAACTCCAGAATGAATACTTCAATTTCAAGTAACCTCACATAATTAAGAAACAAAAAAGACACAGCAAGAGTATTACACAATCCATCATGCAAAATCAGATATCAGACCCAGCATTCACATGCAAACAGTCTATTAGAATCTTTAACCTACCATTTCTCTCCTTGATGTTTCAAGACAAGTATAATCTGACTCAGCAATTTACGGTGTCACCACACAGTGAGTAATGCAAATCACCACGTCCAATACACCGCACCATCAAACCCGGTAAACTCGATCAACTGCATCACAAAAATCAAAAGAAGATCAACTCCATCGTATAAAAAATCTTGGATGTCGATCCAACTAACATATGTAAAATAAAATAAAAATAGCAAAAATAAAAAACCTAGAATGAGAAAATGGAATCGATTGAATTCGCGATCGCAACTGCTTACAGAAGATAAAAGGTTTGGAAAATGGAAACATGACTATCTCCTTAGACTTATTTTCCGGTGGCAGAGACGTTCCTCCTTTGATAGCTACTCTTCGTTTCACTTCAAAACAAAGTGTGTGGGATTTACGAATAATGAGGTTTAGAGTGTGTGAGAGAGATGGTGGAACAGAGATATAATACGGGAATATGTAGGGTTGCCGAATTTGTCATGTTATATCCACCCTACACGTGTATAGTCTGTGATGTTTCCATCCTCAGAGAATCTGAACTGTCCTAAGCTTCTCGAAGGCATAAATAATGTACAGAAG